ACTGTCCTTTTTTTTTTTTTTTTTTTTTACTGATTTCATTAAAGATGCTGAATTTTAGTCCATTTGCATTTGTCTCACTTGAGTTTAAATTAAGAGTTAGGCTTGTAATTATGTACCACTATAAGCAACTCAGTATGAGAATCCAGCAGTGCCTATTTGTAAACCCATGCCTGTGTTTGTACGTCTAACCCTCTACTCCATATGTTATGCGTACTCAGAATAAGATGCCATCAAATGTGACAAAAGATTATCTGATGAACCATTCAGCTCTAATGCTTATCTAAATTGAATGCTGTGCAAAATAAATTGCAGTTTGCTAAAAGAAAATGAAGCACTCGTTACCTTACAGTAAAAATTGCATCTACTCCCCAAATCAATCATTTTTCTGAAGGTTGATGAATAAATGGAAAACTCTGTAAACACTGGGCTCTTGGTTGGAAGATGAAATCTGATAGATTCTACTGTAGTTTATTTTTATCGTGGAATTATTTCTCACTGGGGAAAAAAAGACACCCCAACAATACATACATACATCCTTTTTTTCTGTGCTTTCTGCAATTCCTGTTGTAGTTCTTCTGTTTTCATCAAGTGATTCTGAAGAGTACATGCAGGGTAAGGTGAAGTGGCAGGTAGTGTTATGCCTTCTGGGTTATCGTGTGAAACAAACCTGTACAAACAGCACAGGTAGGAATTACTGAAGGTGCTCATAACTTGAGGTATCTTGCCAAGAAGTGTCTTCCCTGTTCAGAGAATGCCAAGAGACTGTTCTCAGGAATCTCCAGTTGGTGTTGCCCTAAAGCTCTCCTCCTCAGAAATTCTCTGCTGAAGTTGTGTTTAAAATGATCTTTTATTGAGCCATTTGTTCCTACACTTGAAACAGAGGCCTTTGGTTTAGAAAGGATTTTGCTGTTTTCCTATGGTGTCTTGTAGTGTCGTGAAAACATAAGGTCCTAACAACCATAAAACCTTCCTGTATTGAAGTACCAGAGTTTGAACTAAAATAAGTACTAGTTTCATGTGTACTTCTGCTTATGTGACCTTAGGGACTTCAACCCATATGGGTCTGATGCTTGCAATATCCAGGACTGTAAAACCATGTAAGCCTGTTTCTATAGCCTGATTTCCATTAAAACTATTCATATTTAGGTGTCTAGGTGACTTGTAGAACAGGGACCTTCACTCATTTATGCTTTCCATGTAAATCTTGTTTTTGTTCTGTGGGAGACAGATCATTCTGTGTCATAGGACAAGTTTTTTTTTCTGTGAAATATAGCTGTAAAGAAAAAGACAAGCATATAGAAAATAAACGGATCTCAGAGGCAGAGATTTGGAATGGAATTTTATTCTAGAAAACATCTCTTTCCTAAAGAAATGCACTGAGCAGCTGTTGTGCATGGTACCCTGTGTGCACCTACTCCTTCCCAAAGGTAATCTGTTCCAGAAACTTAAGGTTGACGTCTGCTTAACTGCAGGTACTACAGAATCCATTTGCTGCTACAAAAATGGAGCGCTGTGGCATTACACAAAAGAGAAATGTTAGCTCTCCTGGGAACCCTGCAAGGCAAGCACCATCAAATGTTCTGTGTCTCCTATCCTGAAAGCAGGCAGGAATAGGGATAGGGGGTACCTGTCATCTCTTTTCCCAAGGGCATAAATTGTTGCAGAGGTGAGAGCATGGCCTGTGGTTGTGGGGTGCATGGGTTGATTCAGTGAAAGGAGTGTGTGGACCTTATGTGTTCAGATTCTTGAGATCTGCACAGAATTTGGCTCCATCAGCTACAGTGGATATCATTTTTCTTGACTAGCCCACCATTTTTCTTGGCTGATAACATCTGTGCCTCTAAGATCTCAGCCAGAAGTATGCAGGAGGATGCAAAATGCCTCAGGGTAGGCTTTCACTTTGTTATTCTTCCACAATTTCATTGTGGAGTACTGTACTCCATTACTAGACTATACCTACCCAGTGGTTTGGATCTTAAATTTTCTTGTCTGCATTAGCTTTTGTTCAAATTAAAATGTGAATGGAGCTTTCAAGGACTAAAACAACAATATGGACAAAATACCACTTTACACTTTTTCGCAACAGATGGAAATCTGGACTGGGAATTTAATTTTAAACTGCATCCAGAAATGAATGAAAGCTGAATGGCCTTCTCATTCATATTTTCTTTGTGCCTGTCATGGGAAAGACGTATTTCTTATTTGCTTGAATTACTTATTAGTTTGAAAGCTATACTAGTTTTAGGCTGTTTGGTGTGACTTGTCTGAGGGCTGAATATCTCATTTTCACGATTCCTAGGAATCTATGATCAGAAAGGACTTTATAAACAGAAGGTATTCTACATCCCAGCAGGCATGCCTGTTGACATCTATAGTTACTGTGGGCATGTCGGAAGGATCTCTCAGCTGGGTCTTGAAGTGTCAGAGAAGATGCAACACACAACTCGCAGACTGTCACAGGCAACAACCCGACTGAGTGCCACATTCTTGTGTTCCAGACTCTGTCTCTTGGCATCTGGACCCTGGGGTTGCCATTTATTACCTCTCCTGGTTACTCTGGGATCTTTCTTAACAATTGCATCGCAATTAAATCAACAGGTGAAGAGTGGGTTGTGGACATGAAATGAGAAATCCGCCAGAGTTAAATGAAAGCCCCCGAGTTATTCACTCATGAGACAAAGGACTGTGAATGTATTTTGTGGGCTAATGGCAAAAATCAGTTCTTTTTTTTAGTTTTTAAGTATAATGCACACTATCTTCCAACAACAACAACAACAACAAAGCATAATAGCTTAGCAAACTTGCCTGTGCTACACAGGAAGGAAGCAGGAAGAAAATGAGAAAAATTATTTCTGAATACATGCTCGGAAGGGGTGCAGACAAGTGAAACACAGGAGGGTATTTAAAGAGAAATGTCTCCTAATGGAGAAGGGAATTGCAGTCAGGGCCCCAGGCAAAGTGACAGGAACAACATATAAATGGCACCTGACACAGTAATGCTTGAGAGATACCATCTCTTTGAAAAATAAGTGAGTAATGACTCCATTCAAGGCTGGATTCCTGCATTTATTTATGAATATGTTTAATTTTGGTGGGCTAATCCATATGCTGACCAAATATATACATTTGGGGTGGGGGGGAGGGAGGTGTGGACGATGACTGAGGCATGTAAGTTTGCAAACCAAAGTACTAATAAAAAAATGTATCTGATTTCCAGGTATTAAGTCTGCAAACTGCATTGAATGCTCAAAAGTAGGCAACTGGTGTAATTGTGTCAGATGAAAAATAGTAGGGGGGGGGGGGGAAATCCCAACATCATTATGAAGATTAAACCAAGCAGTCCACTTACGGAAATGTTATGAGATGCCTACAAAAAGAAAGTTTTCTGGTTCTTATAGACAGTCTGTATACATAGGTAGGGGCTGCAAAGGGTGGTGTGGATTCATAGTTTTAATTAAGCTGGTTTTAACACCAACATTTATATGCGACAGAACTTCATAACAATAAAAAGAGAAACTCTACTCATTTTCCTAAGAACATAAAGCCACATGATTTTATATATCCTCTGCTTAGGAAAAAACGTTTTCGTAACATAGGTAATGAAGTAAATTTTATTCAGTTCTTGTTTTGCAGGGAATAAACTCAGCGTGAAGCAGCAGCATCATAAAATAACAAAACAAACCTGTTTAAACAGACTCATGTAAGGATGCAAATTTTGCACAGGGAAAAGCAAAACTATGCTGTGCAGCTGGTTAGAGCACATCATCATGCAAACAATTTAAGCTGACCGACAGTAAAATAAGCATTGACGTTCATATCCTTCACCCAGTTGCTAGAACATTGAGAACATTTGTATTCAAACCCAAGGGTTTGAGGGAGGGGATGTCCAGCAGCTCAGGATACTGTGCCCCAGAGCGCTGCCTGGTGCTCTGTGAACCCCACAATGAATTTATAAGACTGGAACATCAGCCAGTAATTTTTAAAAATATAATTTGAGTTTTACAATTTAACCCATGCTTTTCTCCAGCTTTGAGCTGCTCTAAAGATGTATATGGTTCCCTCTATGATTTAAGGGGCATTAAAAAATTTTGTAGGGAGGGAAATACCTGTAGATATATCTCTTACGTAGAGAATCTAGAGCTATATATCATCTCTTATGTAGACAGGGAGAAATACCTTTATGTTGTGGCAAGATTGATCTGCGCTGCTGGAGTGTCCTGTATGGCAAGTGTACTTATGTGGCATGAGCATAGAATCCCCCAAAGGCTGCTTGGGTTTTTGTCACAGGGTTGTGAGCAACAGAGCAGTTGAGGAACAATAGGATTTGGGCTCACATCTTATTATACAGTAGCCCAGAAGAAACTTATCACCCATATTTGTCATGGCAAGTAAAGGTAGGGGAGCCAAGATAAAATAGCAGGGAAGTTCTGCAAGGGGATGGGAGGATGGCAAGGTGGGAGGGAGGCAACCATCCATCCCTGCAGTCCCCTCCTTTCTGGTAGGGCATTGTCAGTGGTTGCACGTGAAGCCAAGACATAAACTTAGAGTGACAGTGGTGTATTCTCATTTGAAAAGTTCCTGGGTTCATTTTAAGCAGGGTACCCTCCTGTAACTACTTGTGAACACTTCACCAATTCTATGAGCTGCATGGTACTGGATGGCTGCAAGAGACTCTTGAAGAACAGAGAGAAGGCTTTGATTAGACACTGTTTACATTGCTTTTTGCCATTTGGAGTATGGATATGTTACATCTTGCTTGAAAACAGATGGCTAAAATGAGCCATCACAAAAGTAGCATGCAAAGCCCTTGTGGCTGGCTTGGTCCTGGCAGAGTGTGATAGCTGAAGATGCAGTGCTGGTCCCAAGTGCTCGTGCTGTTCAACAGCAGCAAGGCACAGGTTCAGTCCAGTCAGTTCATGCTTGGTGTCTGTCTGTTCTTCGGGGAAACCTCTGCTCTCCTCAGCATGGGTCCTGCTGTGGTTCTGAGGGCATTACCTGTGCTAGATGTATTCTGGTTTGGACAGGACCTGCATCTCCTGCCCTCCATCACTCCGGTCCCGGAAAGTCCCCTCCAACCTTCGTGTTCTTCTCTCCCTAAGGAAAATAAGGAATGGTCAGGATTAAAATGGATGAAAATAGGGGATGAGTTCAGCAGCTGTGCTTATCTCTCCCCTCTGTTTGGGATAGTCAGGGTGAGAGTAAAGGGACGGTACTCAAAGGGGGTGCAGAGGTGGTTGCTGAAGAGGCAGTAGATGAGGGGATTGATGGCACTGTTCAGGGCTGGCAGGTTTTGAATTATCACGGATGCATAGAAGCGCTCTTTGGTCTCGGGGAGGATGTTGAAGTTGTCCAGGATATCAAACAGAAAGTAGGGGCTCCAACAGAGAGCGAATGCTGCAGGAGAGACAGAAGAGCTTGACATTAGACAGTATGGTTATTTAGGGAGTTAATCACATACGCACAAATAGAGACTGTCATAGCACATAAGTATTTGTTCATGCAAGAGAAATTGCTCCCTACGCAGGGTCTTATTTAAGAGGATAGTTATTAAATTGTGTTTTTATTTGTCTTCATTTTTATTTTAATGCCCATAAAATACATTACGTGTGCTGCTTTAAGTGCTTAGAGTGCTCCCTCTAGATGTATTGAGGCACTTCTGTACGCTGCACACACATAAAGGGTAAATAGGTAGCCAGTTAGAGCATCATCACTTACAGAAAAGCGCTCTTTTAATGGTCCCCTGAGTGAGCAGCCAGTCTAAACGCAGACAGCACCAAAGTGCTGCTCTGTGACAGCCCTGCCTATCACAGCCACCTATTAAGAAAAGGCTCTTAGGCACCCAGAAGCAAGGAATGACACTTTCACTCTGAATTACAGCAGGCTGACATACCGTTTTGCACGCTGGTTGGAGGTGCCCTGTAGTAAGGGAATGTAGGAAGACTCTACGATTCCCCTACTGCTATTGGAGAAACAAGTCTGAGAGGGCTGCGTCATTCGTAGCTTTTGTTAGGAGGTGGTAGAAAAAGAGGCCATGGGTTTTGCTTTTTTTGCAGGCATTCAGGAATAATTTGTCTCATAAATGCCTACGTCAACTGCTCTCACAAAGAGTGTTGAGCATGCTGGGGCAGGCAGTTCACTCAGCTAAGTTATAGGCACCTGGATTGCCAATGTGCTGGGCACGGAGCTGGGTGCTCAGCGAATGTGCAAGAAAGAAGTAAGCTCTCCTGTTTTCTGGAGTAACCAACCGAATAGTGTGCACACACAGAGGCCATAGTAACAACAGTGTGCCCTGTCAGTGCGTGGATCATAGCACTGGCTACAGATCCCCCACTATAGGTGGATTTATGGAAATCCATGAGCATTATGTGCCTTCACTTTCTCGCACAGTGAGAGATGCTGGGTGCCTGATATTATCAAGGTCCTCTGAAATACTGAGCACCTAGGTGAGCTCTTGCCATCTGGAGGCATTGTGGTAGTGACTGTTTCTGTGTTTCTTGCACAGTCTTTCTCTGATGGCCACACAGATAAGTTCAGATGCAGAGAAGGTGTCCTTGGATTTCTGAGAGCCGTGAATCACAGCAGCATCTCTCATGTCCAAGGACACTACAGCTAACCAGTGAACTAAGCACCTCTAGTAGTAGCTATTATCACAGTATCAATCAATCTGAGTTTTGTGTAGGACTGGGAAGAGGAGCGATCTTTCCTGCAGTGCCCTGGGGAGTAAATAGCTTCTGATATCTCCCTGTCTGTCTCCATCAGCTAATCACAAGTGCTGTGTGATGTTGCCTTTATTTATCGAGATTAAATGTCAGCCTCCTAATTCCATCAGGATAATGTCATCTCCCTGGGAGACGGAGGACACCTGCACTGAGTCATCTGCATCCTGGCTGGGCGAGGAGAGCTTGTTCTCCCCACCTCTGCAGGCAACGTGCTTCTGACATCAAATTTAATTGCTCTGCTTCCCTTGCCTCTCCTTCCTGTTCCTGCCCTAATGAAGCAGCCTGTATTCTCTAGACCTAAAAGACAACTCGTTTGCCAGGTCTTTTAGCAGCTTGGCTGTGTGTATCACTGCATACATAAGGTGCCTAAAATAGGATCCTGTCAGTCATAGGAGGGCAGAGGACAAGGTCAGAAGGCAAGTCAGAGGTCTAAGTAAAACTCCTTTGCTGAACCACTTCATGCACTTTATTTGCTGGTGATGGAGGGAGATCCCTAATTTCAGCATCTGCCCCAGCTGCAGGCTTTTTTTTTCATACTTACCAAGAACAATTACAATGCTGTACTTGATGGCTTTCACTTTTGCTCTGGATATGAACCCACGACTGGTGTAGCCAGCAGAGGTTCTGCCATCTGGGGACAGAAGAGTAGAACCAGTGAAAGAGCAGGGCTCGTGTATGCATTTCCTGCAATTCATATATTAGCAAGTCTTCTCCCATTAGGCACAAAAAACCTGAGCCCTCTAAAATCAAAAGTGGAAATATATGTATAGGAGATGTTTCTGAAGCACTGTAGCAGCTGCATATCCCTGGGTCTCCACACTTGGAATTGTAGGCAGGAGAAACATTGTAGATAAACCCAACAATATCAGTTTAGCAAAAACCTCTGGTCATCACAACTTCAAAAACACAACTGGAGTGGTGTTAGAAGAGATGTTTTCTGAAAGGATCTGGCAACTGTAATTAAAAAAAAACAACATAGGATATAATCTGGCAAAACAGACTACCTGTTCAGTTTTTATCTGCATTTCGATTAGATGGGTTTTGAAAGCTACATACTCCATTCCCTTAACCTCTTTTTGATGCTTTAGATACAGTCATGCATTTTGCTCTTCTGTTGGACTCAGTAATAAAAGAAGAAAAGAAGAAATGCTGTTAGATTTGCTTTTCAGAAGTAAAATGTGGCTTGAATTGTGAAGCGAAGTCTATTCAGTTTCACACTAAGCCTGGTTGATCTCATTTCCTCTGAAGTCACGCTAATGTCTCTGAGAACCAATCTCCACATTTCAATGGCAGTACCAGCATGATTGTAATAATATGCTTGATTTCATTATTCATGACAATTTGCTGTTCACGTTGCCCTGTGAGAATAATTAGGTTCATCGTAGTGAACACACAAGAAGGTCATTTTTTATCAAAACATCTTTCAACTCTTGAAATCCGAGCTGAGAAATTGAATTTTAATGAATGTCATTGGAAATAACTATGTGTACATGACTTTTTGCACCTCTTAGAAAAACAACATATCCAGGCTATGTAATCTGTGAGGAAAAAAATATAAATAAAATTAATGAGAGCTTGTTATCAGTGAAATATTGTATAGAGAAGCTTGAAAACAGTCCATACATAATAGTACTGAAGATTCCTTGGTTTTTAGTGCAGAATCTATCTCTTGAGTGAGAAGAATGACTTTTTTTTTTTTTTTTTTTTTTTTGCAAGGTTTCTGGTCTTACCAAAATTCAAACTTCCCAAGGGCATTTGAAAACATTCTGAAATTTTTATCTGAGTGGCTGCTAGAAAACAAACCATTCTACATATGGACAAAATTCTTGGATTAAGGACTCTGAGTTCTAGAGTAAGGATTATTACCTTCTAATTCTTTTCTTATAGATGTTTTCTATCCTTTCTCAAAAGGGTACTTAATGTCAAAGGAAAGAAGTATGGAACAGGTATGAAGGAGCAGTGGCAGATAACCCAATCCCACCACAGTAATGGGGTCCCAACTCAACACCACATATGTGGGCATTCCCAGATTTGATGTGGCTCCCCAAATCTGAATCCTGCGTCTGGAGACACGTGGGTGTTGAGACTCACCTGTGCAGCTGGATATAATGGCAGCCTGAGCTTTGCTCTTCATCCAGATGGTTCGAATCACGATTGAGTATATGACACTGCAGAAGGGAAAGAGTCATTGATACTGTGAGGCATGGTAAATTTAACTGACATCTCAGTCATTCGTTCTCTGTGAATATACTTGCCTACATGTAAGAAGCCCATGGAGATGGCAGAACTTCATAAAAATTATAGCAATAATAATAGAAATAGTAAATTACATATGACTCTACCAAAATATTTCCAGGAGCAACCCAAAGAATTTTCACGTTGAAGTTTGTTACCACTGTCCAGGCTTCACAGATGTCAGCCTTGAAGTCAAAAGCAGAGACATGGTTTTGGCCAACCTCTCCTAGGCAAGAGCTTGTTGGGGATTTTGAGCTGTCTGAGGCCAAAACTGTCTGATTATCAGATCCTGGCAGGAGGCACCTCATCCTGCACTAGGATGTGCTTGTGAGTGCTTAATGTGGGAGCTGCAAGGAGGAAATTTGTCCTGAAATGGGAGAAGCAAGAAGAAGGAATTGTTTCAGCTGTATGTCTGGCTCTGTTCTGGTGTTACTTGGGGAATATGAAGCTGATGAATAAAATGGTAACTCAGGGAAGAGAATGGGGACACAACCCATGAAAACATAATGTACCTTAGTGCTCACTCAGCTCTTGAGGTCCTGGGAATCTAATCAAGGAGCACAGAAGTGCCAGGTAGATCGGAAGAATTAGGTAACTTAAAACCAGATTTGTTGCAGTTTGCGTATTTAGAAAGGAATATGCCTGTATCTTTGATGGTAAAGATAGAAAGTGCTCTAGTGCACAGTAACCATGGGTAGTTACAGCTTTTGCCTAGGTGATAAAAACTGTGGGATTCTATTTATTTGACATAGAATAGGTGAACATAATTCCTCTCAGCTGAAGAGATGTTTGAACACACGTCTTGGATGAGGATGTTATCATAGAATGGCCTGGGTTAAAATGGATCACAGAGATCATCTGGTTTCAACCCCCTGCTGTGTGCAGGGTCGCCAACCAGCAGACCAGGCTGCCCAGAGCCACATCCAGCCTGGCCTTGAATGCCTGCAGGGATGGGGCATCCACAGCCTCCTTGGGCAACCTGTTCCAGTGCCTCACCACCCTCTGGGTGGAAAAACTTCCTCCTAATATCCAACCTAAACCTCCCCTGTCTCAGTTTAAAACCATTCCCCCTTGTCCTATCACTATCCATCCTCATAAACAGCCATTCCCTCACTTCCCTCAACCTTTCTTCATAGGAGATGTGCTCCAGCCCTCTGATCATCTTAGTGGCCCTCCTCTGGACTCATTATGTTTGCAGCAACTGAAAGAAAAACAACACACAAGGCCTTGCTCTGACTTCCTCTTCCTCCAGAGAGTGGATAACATTATTATTACCAGAGCTTTCAGACTGATACACAAGCCTTTCCTATAGCACCTCAGCTCCTAGCCATGCTTCCAAAGGCAGCACTTGTGCATCCTGTAGGTATATTTTCTGTACAGGTTTGAGAGCTCTGGTTCTCAGGCTTAGAAGGTGAGAGCTGGAAATTCAACACACAGATCAGGTTGTGCAGCAGAGCAGCACAGTTCTCACCCAGCAAGGATTTTGCACGCCTCTTCCACAGTCATCAGCTTGCCCTCCTTAATCCCTTCAAAGGTCCAGCATGGCTCCCAGCTGACTCAAACATTTTCCTTTTATCTCCTGGCTTTTCAAGAGCCTGTTTATTTATCAGCTGGTTCACTTGAGAGTTTCTGTGTACTTTGCTCTGATAAAAGTCGAAAATTCATGCATCATTTCTCCTTTGATTGTTTCAGTGAATCAGAATGTATTATGATGATGACTGTTGTTATCATGAGAAAACTTCAGCCAGCTCCTGCAAGACTTGTCTCTATTTTATCTCCAGCCTGCTGTCTCTAGCCTGACCTTCTTTATTTGCCATCAGAACAGTGCCCCCTTTGATGCAGATCTTTCTGTGTGCCCAGAAGAACACATGCAGAGTTGCTCAAGTATCAGGATGAAGGAGCTTCGTATACTCAGTTTCCATCCTTCCATTCAAATGCTTCTGCTATTGAATTATGAACCCAGGCTCTTCACTTGCTTTCTGCTGAGGGCATAAAGGATGGGAATAGATTCACACTTGATGGTAAACAAGGTGGCAGATGAGCAAAGAGTAGAGAGGGACAAACAGGATCTGATGTTCAGATGGTTGGGAAGTCCAGATGTTGTTGGGTTTCTTTGCCTGAATGTACTTAGTGTACTCGTCTTGCAACCCTGACTGTGACTTTTGGATGCCATGTAAATGTGCTATGGTAGTAATACATACTACCATAATGAAATATTATATGAGTTGTTGTGGCTCATTATTTACAAGGAGGGCACTTATTGAAAGGGAAGAAGAGATCAGATGCAGTGGAAAATCTAGATGGAAAAAGAATTAAAACTTTTTTTTTCAGAAGGAGTCACTCAGACTGTGATGAAGACCATAGGATAAAGTGGATATGCTGTTCATATGAAAATGCAGTGCTTCTTTTTCATAGCCCCAAGGAGATGCATACGTGTAGAAGTGTCAGGAAATTACAAGAACATAATTTAGTCTAGGGATGTAACTCAGCAAATTACATTCATTGCACCTCCAAAAGCAATTTAGATTGATCCAGATTCTGAAGAACTAAGATGCACGTTCATTGTAGCATGTCATTAGTTAATGGTGTTGGTTAATTTGACTCCATTGGTAATTTTGGCAGCCTTTGTCCTTGTGAATAACCAACTTGTGGTAGCTTCCTACCTCACTTTTGTTTTGGAAAACAAAATGCTTTCTGGTAAAGCTAGGTATTGATAAAAACATCCCTAAGATGCCAGCTCTTCAAGAATGGGAATTATGTTTTTGTTTTAAAATAAATGATGACATCATGTTAGCATCTCACCTGGGCACAGTCTTTACTAACAAAATGAGCCATTGCAATGGCAAAGGGTATACTGAAGCTCCCTGTTAATTGCTTGTATTTGTCCTCCAGCATTGTCTATTGTTTCTCATACTGTATTTGTGCAGAGGGCTGCAGCTGTCCTATGTCGTGTGGTGGCTGATTTGCAGCACTGTTTATCCAAAGACAAAATGTGCATGTAACTTCATTCAGATGAATCACTGCAGGCATACATAATGAGCAAGTGAATAGACAGGCAGATAGTAGAATTTACATACAAGGTCTAGAATTTCTTCCTTTGAAATGGAAATTGCAGGCAAAAATGACTGTTCTCTTTGAATCAAACTCAAAATCAGATCTTTGCAATTTTTATTAATACCTTTTTTTTTCATTTTATTTGATTTAATTCTGATAACTCATCTACTCACCATTTCATTATAGAGCTTGTATTTCAATTCAATACATTTTCCTTATAGGTTAGGTGATTGTTTTTTTTTTCCCTTCTGACCAGTTTTTTGCTGCTCAACAGCAAATGTTCTCTTTGGAATTCTGATTTTAAACAGCAGATGGACTGTTTTTTTCCTCTGTACCTCAAGAGGAATTCTTTTTTTTTTTTAACTTGTATTTGGAATTATATTAGATGAATGTTTATATATTGTATTCAAAAGGTTAAAACAGAGAAAATGCATCTGACAATCTTGAAGAACAGCTAAAAAGAACAAAACTTTACAAATTCCAAATTTCTGATATCCAGCTGACAGAACTCAATTATGGTGTGGCACAGAGTAACAATGCAGAACAGAAAACCAGCAACTTTCATGTCTCTCCATCACAGGACCTGAGAGGTCAGGTGCAAATGCTTGCAGGAGGAACAACTGTAATCTCGATCTGGCCCCTGTTTAGCAGTGCCCCAAAGTATCTTCACCTATCACAGGTATCATTCAGAGATTCACTTGGCTTTATTCAGTGTAGCTGAAATGGCTTTTGTTGTAGCTGTGGATTCTCGTCCTGGAAGAACAAATCAGGAAGATTCCCTTTTCCTTTTTCTGTGCTCTTTGGTGTTTGGTAGGTTAACAATATCAGCTGCAGAAAAAGTGGTAGTGCTGCCCAAATGAGAAGAAAGAACAGGCCAAACCTTCAAGTGCTGCAAGGAAAAATGGGATGTGATGCAGGACACTTAGATCTCCCTGACCAGCACGAAGAAAGAGGAGGGGATCTTTAAAAAGAAAACAACAAATCTTCTTTCCATTTCTCAGCTTTCAAAGATAACCAGGCTTAGATTAAAGAGCCTTCATTCTCTTTCTGATATTTTGGTCTTGTTCATTTGTATTACAATTGGGTAAAAAAATCACCATTTGTGCAAAGTGGCAGTGGAAACACATCTGTCTGGCATTGAAGTATTTTGTGGTTTTATAGATAGATTGCCTTTTTATGTAGACATTAACAAAATTGAAGACCAGGTTATTTGCATGTTTTTGCCTGGTTTCCAGAGAATTTGCTCACATTGTGTCTGGAGGGTTTGCTCACCAACGGAAGGGCTTCCCAGGCTGACTGTGAGGGTTATCAGCTGAATTACAACATTTGTGCTGTGGTACTATGGACGATGCATCTCGTCTGAGTTACTTGTAGGCTGTATTGGGAACATATGAAATCAGCTCTGAGTGCTGGAAGATGGATGACAGAAACTTAAAGACGACGGTATGTGGATTGTAGCAACTGAAAACTTTGCAGCCAGAATGGCAGATCAGAGCAGAATTAAGTTCTGCACCGGAAAAGCAAGATTTTACTCTTTGCATGAACTGTGCCAGAAAAAGTGCTTTCCTAGGTGAAGTGCTTTGCTCTGGATGTGAGGCTTCCTGCAGATGCAGGTGGCAGAACTAATCAAGAGTTAATTCAGGCAGCATCCCACATTGCTTTGGGCACCCACCATGCACTTAGGTTGGAGTGCTTCAGAGGACAAAATAAAGAAGCTGCACAAGCAAAATGAGTTATTGCAGAAAAGGTCTTAGTCTTAATCTATGTGCTGCCTGCACTGTAAGGCTTGGCTGCTTTGGTGACCGTGTTATGCACCCCAGCTGCTGCTTTATTCATATTAAATTTGTATTTCATACAAGAATTCACTCCATATAGGAATTTAATACAAATAAATCCTTTTCATCCATACTACTATTTGAGTTTTCAGTCGCACATTTATGTATTGTCTCTCCATTGTTAAGTGATGGTCTTTTTTTGGAACACCTTCACCTAAAAGCCACTAAAATCAGAAACCACACAATACCTTACTTCCTTGATTAAATAAAACCTCTCATTTTTGTAATTAATCTTTCAACTGAATGTCACACACCAGTTACATCTAGACATTGCATCTGTCCTCGCTCACCCTTCTGCAACAGTGTCTCACCGGTCCTGCAGAATGTCCAAAGGGACTTAGTGGAACGTGTCTTTTGAAAGGAAATAGAATCCCTGCAGGAATTAATGGCCATTCCTGGTGCTCTTTAGCTGCAAACTGCCTATTAATATGCTGCAGCCACATGAGGTAGGTTAGATTCAACCTCCTGGACTGCCAAGAGGTGTTAAAGGAATAGGTGTTGTGCCTTGAGGCTGCATCGACAGAGGTCTGGCAGATGTGTCAGATGGGATGTTGCAACCTTCAGCTGTATACTTGACAATCTAAAACTTGAAAACATGGTTCAAAAACTAGACAGTTGTTTCCAAAGCATGGGGTATTTGTTCAGTGAGTCTACTGATTCTGTTCTAATGGTAATCTTCTTCTGTGGCTGTAGACGTTCCTCTCTGTTATAAAGAAAATAGAATCATAGAGTAGCTCTGGTTGGAAGGGACCTTAAACCTCATTGAGCTCCAACTCCCCTGCCATGGGTAGGGCTGCCAGCTAATAAATGGCCATAAACCAAGAAATGGCCCTTACTCATCCTTCCATGATCCATCTACCTCCCTCCTCCGTGTGTCTGCCACCACTTTGGACCTGTCCAAAATTTGTCTTGAAGAAGATGAGGTGGGAGCACTTGCACTACATACCCTGAAATGAGAAACTGGCCACGGTTTTAAGTTCCTGCCCTGGCATAAGCTTTTTGTGTGAAAGTCACTTAAGGTTAAAGCCACGGAAATTTGAGGATGTTTTATTCATCTCTCAGCTGTCAGGGCAATCTCATGAAATGCTGCCTTCACCGCCTTTCCCTATTCCCTCCTGTTCTCATTGCCTTCTTGCTTCTGGGGATTTGCTGTAAGTCAAGTCGCATAGTTTTGACAGGGAGGAGGGGAAACATAATGTCAGAAAACTGGAAAAGACTTTCTGTGTGTTTTTTTCCGTTGTCTGTAAACCTATACATATTCCATGCGAAAAGGAGTGGCTGAGCTGTCCTAGAAAATGTGTGGACATGTAAATTGGAGTATGAAGGGAAGGTTTTACACACCTGTGTGATTGATAAGTTGACAGGATACAGGCCTCTCCCCAGAAACATTTAAGGTGCTGGATAGAATTTCCTAATTGCTAACTATTCAAAAAATTCACAACAAATCTCTCCCAGAAACAGTAGCCAGGCTCAGTATTCTCTGAGATAATTTCTATTGCACAGTGAATTAATTTTGTCTGTTTATGTTTATTCTTTCTGCTGAGCTCCTTTTAATAGCAGATTTTATTGTGGACCACCTTTGTGGTCTCAGGCAAATCAATCTGAAATACTTGCAGTTCAAATTTTCCTTTGCAGTGTTTTTTTTTTTTTTTTCTTTTTTTCATATTTTGGAAGTGCCTGACAGCTTCAAACAATTGGGAATTTCTTTTTGACCCTGATGAAGTAGCACTCCTCAAATACTATGAAGCTTGAGAGCACTTAAAATTAATTTTAGTTTAATTAGCGCTAAGTGTATTTTCTGTTCTTTTATTAAATTCACGTTTTATCGTATAAGCTAAACATTCATATTGCATTTATAAAGGTCTATTTAAAGCCTGAAGCTGCAGAGATAAGTGGACACACTTAGAGATGCACTCCTTGTTCAGAAATAATATTCCTAGCTATTACTGCGTGGAGAGCACTGCAAGGCAAGCACAGCGACCCGTGTGCTGTGCAATATGAATCAAAGCCACCGTGAGACAGGTGTGGAAATGAAACCATAATGAGTGACTGAAATTAAAGCATTAAGCTGATTGCATGCTTGACAGCTTTCACCATGCACTTCCAATGGCAGGCTTACCTGATAATGATCAGAGGAATGAAGTACACAAGGAAAGCAACCACCGTCATGTAGGGGACCCAGTAGGAATCATCTGGCCACAGAGCCCAGCATTGCACTTCCCCATTGGAGAGCTGTCGTTTCCCAAAAATTATCAGAGTTGGTATTGAAAACAGGAAAGAGAGGCTCCAGGCCACTCCAATAAGAACTTTCGCCTGTCTTTCTGTTCAACAGATTCAAACAGACATTGTTAGCAGAGTAGGCAGTGGGATTGGCCCTTTGTAGCAGAGCTGAGAGAGAGGTGGGGACGGTCTCTGAATAGTAAGTGCTGAGAAGACTGCAGAGGAGTGTGGGAATTTCATCTCTTTCTTGTCCCTCTTGCAAGGGACAACAGACCTGTCCTGCACATTTGTACCTGGGCACAGCAACAAATCAGCTGGTATGGGAACAGATGGAAAAGAAGGAGCCCTTGTGCTTCAGATAGCAGATAGCTTCAGATAGACCAGGAAGGGTTACGTAAAACATAAATGGGTAGGAGGTGCTGAAAAGGAGAAATGACCTCCTTAGATGTTCAACATTTTGCTGCATCTTGTAGTGAGAAGACTTACAAAAGACTTAGGAAAAACTCATCAGCTCAGTGTTGAGTCAGAACTGCACATTCATCTGCCTTTAGCCCTGTCTGCACTCCTCAGCATCCCACGCAGACCTTTGTGCTCCCAGAATGCTCAGACATCTTTGCCAATTCCCAGTGATGCAGTGGGGACCAACCTCATCTCCAGCTGATGGGCACATGCTCAATGATGCTGAGGGTGAGCATCAATGAGGGTGAGGAAATCCTATGGTTGTGCTCAAAGTGCTGAGCAGTTTTAATTGCTGCAGCAGCCAGCAGCTAGGAGATTCTGCCAGGCTGCCTGGTGAAGAATGGCAGTTCAAGGATCAAGAATAGGAGTTCAAGCAGATTCGTGTTACTGCTTACACCTGGCTTATGGCCTCCTCGACAGATAGGGAGAGCTGGTAGATAACCAAATGATGCCATGTGGCACCTATGGGATGCTATAAAAATCAACTGGTTGGAGCAAACAGCCCTGAAGCTTTAGTTTTCATAAATATATATCTTTTGACTAAAATCCATGTAGCTCTTGCTAAAAAGTGTGAGGAGGAGCAGCTGATCTGTGTTATACAAGTGATCCTCAGCAGTAGTTATGCCTTCTGAGCCAGATTGCTAGAGGAGCAGATGAGGACAGAGTTTTGAGAGATCTGAGAAGATTCAGCGTTGAAACTATTTACTGTCCAGCCTGCCTACAAAATACCTGCAGTGGCAGTGAAATAGAAAATCACTTTAAATTATGAATATGAAAAAGTATGACTTTCTTCCTTGAAGCTCAAAGAGCAATATGAAAGCATGTGGGAGAAGCATTTTAAAAGTAATTTTATGCTTTATAAAACATCAGTTGCAAATATTCATTTATCCTGCTCATCTTTAAATGCTGCCCACATTCAGCAAAATATAGTCCTTCTAATCTTGGGTTTAGGAGAGCTCTGATGACAACCACATAAGTGAGAGGGTTAGATTAAGTCTATAAATATTGCACTAGAAGAGGAAAACCATGAGGTTTCACAAAGCATAACAGAATAAACTTAGCAAAAGGAATATTTAGAGTTTCACAAAATACTTCCTGACAGAAAGGGCTTTAGATTGTGAGCAAGCTACTTGAACAGCATGCACACAAGCCTCGATGGGACCCACAAGTCTGTTTCTAAGGTGGAAAGGTCACTGTTAGATAATATACCTTACTTTTCGTACACCCTTAATTTGACAAGAAGTATGCAGCTTGGGTTTGGCAATAGAGTTGTTTTATTTTTGTGTTTTATAAAATATTAACTGCAATGTTCACTGATTTTGGTTTTTAAATGTTCCGTGTGTTTGATAAAACATGGCCTTGCTAGTCCTAAGAGCTTTGCTGAGCAATGGTAGTATCTGGGTAGATTTTTATCTTAATGGATTAATGTTAATTGGCTGCCTCATAAGCAGTGTATTTATTCATTGTAAATGCTCTAAATGCTGGCAAATGATATAACTAGACCATATATGTTATAAATGGAATCAAATAAGTAACACGTTTCTAATACTCTGTATAACAATCTGTATAATATTCTATTTGCCCTGTGTTTTCCTTTCAAAATGATACTGAACTTTAAATTGGGAGTTTTCCATACTAGAATGTTCAAAACCAGCACCCAGCATTAGCAGGAATCTGCCATCAGCTCTGGTTATTGGCTCTCATAACTGTCCTTTTCACAGAATCACAGAATAGCCTGGGTTGGAGGGGACCTTATAGCTCACCCAGTTCCAACTCCTAGCCATAAGCAGGGCTGCCACCCACCAGCTCAGGCTGCCCAGGGCTCCATTCAACCTGGCCTTTAATGCCCCCAGAGATGGGGCACCACAGCTTTTCAGGGCAGACTGTGCCAGTGCTTCACTACCCTCTGTGTAAAGAATTTCTTCCTGACATCTAACCTAGACTTCCCCTCTTTTAGTTCACAACTGTTCAGCCTTGCCTATCTCTAGCAGGCCATGTAAAAAGCCAGTCCCTCTCCTTTTTAAAACTCCCCTCAAGGTCTGGAATGCTACAGTGGGGTTTCCCAGGGGCCTTCTCCAGGCTGAACAAGCTCAGCTCCTGTTGCCCATCTTCATAGGAGAGGCAAAGAAGGAAACAATCAATTCTCTTGCCCTGTTGGCCACTCTCTTTGGATGCAGTCTCAGCCTCTTTTGTTTCTCTTCCTTCATCCACACTGTGACAACAGCTTTGTGTACCTTTACCTGCCCCCAGCCACATCTGGTGGGGAGGCACCTCCATGCTACTGTGAATGGCTGTGCAATCCTTCCTCCAAAAAAATGCCTTTTTAAATCTGGAGAGAACCATTCCAGGATCTCAGTGATCTAATGGACCTCAGTGTTTGCACCCCGAAACAGCAAAAGGGACAGTTTCCATCTGTTCACATTTTGTCTTTTATTTAAGCAGTTCTGTTGACTGCTGCTGGTCAGTTTGCACAGTGGTCATACGTATCTTCTCAAAATGGTGAAATATTTATGTAATGCGTTCTGTTGTAACTTCTCAGTTTCTCTTTGAGCTTACAATCTTCACATTTTTTAATGATTTGGTTGGTTGGTGCCTCATAGAGCAGAAGTGCTGGCATTAAAAAGTATATATAGCATATAAAGTTCTTCTCCATCTTGCAATTTCTGTGGTCAATTAGGTATTTGCAAAGTGAGTATGAAATATTTAACTGTCCAAGTCTATCTTCTTAGAAGCCTTTAAGAAAGCAGCTTCCTTCAAATGTTTTTTTTTCAACATAACTCGTGTTTAGGAATTAAACATATAATTAAAAAAATAAAGTACAAATTGACATTTTCTAAAGAAAATGATTGACCTTATTTTTTTTTTTTTTTCTTTCCAAAATAATATTTTCAAGGAATGTAATGTTTGAAACTTGAGACTCACCAGAGGAGATTTAGGCTGGATGTTAGGAAATACTGCTTTTCTGAAAGAGTGGTCAGGTGCTGGAATGGGCTGCCTAGGGAGGTGGTGGAGTCACCGACCCTGGGGGTGTTCGAGGAATGTTTGGATGTTGTGTTGAGGGACGTGGTGTAGTGAGAACTATTGGTGATGGGTGGATGGTTGGACTGGGTGATCCTGTGGGTCTTTTCCAACCTTGGTGATTCTGGTAAATGACTTGTGTGTTTCTTGACTGAAGGGTTTTGGGGGATGAGCATTTCATTCTGAAAAGAAACAATACGTGCTACTTGCCACTGATTCTCTCAGGGCTGTTTTGACAGTACTGGGTCATCACCAGTGACAAAGTTTTGTAAATCATTTTGTTCTTCTACAAGACTCCTGAGAGCTGCACACAGGAAAGCTCTGCCAGGGACAGCTAAGTGCAAAAGGTTAATGTATGCATGTATGTATTCCAGGAAGTTTTAGTGTTGAACATGCCTTCTTAGGCATTCTTATGAATTTACCACTGCTTCCTTTTTCCCACTTGAACATACACAGCTGGTTGTACGATTCTGGCTCCATGAAAGACATCTCTCCATGGTACCAGCCCTGCTGGAAGCAGGTGCTGCTCATCAGGGTGCTCATCATGATGAGCATGCCAGATCTTAGAAAAGCATCCTGAACCACTTGGGCTTCAGTAAATGTGATGAGGGGAAACAGATGTACTCCTTCAGCCATCCTAGACCCATTATCCCTGTGTTATACATTGAACTGCAGCTCAGCCTCTGGCCATCCTGTGTCAAGTGGTGGAGGAATGGTGTGCTTCTGCACACTGTAGGACAGATGAGGGGTAACATGCATTGTGGTGGAGAAGGATGAGTACTGAGATCTCTTAGGACTGAGATATTCTGCACCCCAACAAGTGTAGGAAGAGTTTAAAGGAGCCTGCATCAGATAAAAGAAAGCACTCTTCCTGTGAGAGTAAAAAAAAATTGCGTACAATTTGTTCTTTAAACCAGCAAATTTTCCATAGCAACAAAAAAAGAAAAGCACTTACAGAGATTTTTGTTGTTGTTGTTACAACCTCTTTGCTAAGCCCAGTAGGTACTGTAAGGAAGAAATGTCATTTGGCCTGCTTGGCTCAAGGTGATTTGGGAACCCCAGGCTGGTGGGAGCTGCAGCATGCGCTGCACACCCAAAAGCCTGCTCATAAAAGTTTGGTAGCAATCCTCCCACTCTGCAAAAGCCAGCCTGCGTGCTGGGGCTGAACTTCACATAAGCATTTGAAGCTTTCGGGCTTTAACATCTGCCAAGGGTGCAACACTGCCTGGGTTGTGATGGATTCACAGCTTTCTGAGTCCAAAGAGGACCACTATTCTGATCCCCTGAATAGAGCAGGCTGTCAATAGTCGTCATTTGTCCAAAGTAAGAACGATATTTCTCCCTGACTGAAGTGCATTTTTCAGCTGCCATCTCTTTTGTAACCGATCCCCTTCCCCCCTGCTGCTATTGCTATTTATTCCCCCTGTGCAACATACATAACCTCAGACTTTAAGCTGCGTAGGAAAGAAATCGTGCTCTTTAAATTGTGTCGCTAAGCATACAAGGTGTATTTGAGTGTTGCAAAAATGACAAATTGAAGAAATTTTAAGATAGAATCAATGTCCAAACTTAGTTGCTATAGTCTTTGAAGTTCGCATCAAACTGTCTTATCAATTCTCAATACTGCACTCGATCCAAATTATTTTTTCATGTGAATATACAGGTAATAAAGCCGTTGCTGCTCCTAGAGTCAGTATAGCTGTAAGGGATACCTTTTGCTCATAATAATTTTCTCAAAATGCTGGAAGATAATGAAAACCTCCATGCTTTTAAAATGTCGTTTCATTCTTTGCAAACACAATGCTTATAAAAACTGCTGAGGGCTAAGTGCAGTTTAATAAATCTGGAAATCACAGCTCCTTTGCCATTCAGAGAATGGTAACAGAATCCAGCAGGAATTAATAATTCACAGAACAGGATGAATAATTTTGAAACTTTTCTTAGCAAAATGAAGCTAGCCAATACTATCCATGGCAGTAGCAAGGTATGCAAATGCTCCTACCTCCTTGCATGAACTTCATGGGGTAAACTATGGCATGATACCGGTCTATGCTCAGTGACACGAGGACATAGGTTGAAGCATAGAGGAGGACCACCTAGAGCAGAAGATACAGAAGGAAGTAGTTGAGGCATGTTTACTGTAGAAATCAGTGCCAGATAAAACACTGTTCTAGGAATATATGAAAACTTAGACTACTTTAAAATAAAGAAAGACTTACAGTTTAGACCTATATTTTCACCCAGACCTTTTTCCTTTTCCAGGTCTGCAAAAGGTAAAGGACTTAATATGTTTGAAATAAAACGTGTTTAAACGTTAAATGACTACTGGCAGCATTTAGCAGTCCTGGTGGAAGCAAAGCATCTGTGCAGCATTTTGTTAGGGTGAGCTCAGGCATGCAGGAGAGCCCGTGGTCCTGTACCTGTAAGTAGCGGACGACTCTGCAGACGATGTCAGGGGCCATGAAATCTCCTGTGTAGCGCCAGATGATATCAGTCATTATGTTTATGAGTCCCGTGAATGAATCTGCAAAGGAAAGCCGCCGAATGTACATGAGAAGAACTGCAGTTATGCTGCAGAGGCAGGCAGGGCCCTTGGATGTACCGCTCCCATCACCTGCAGGGGCAGCCCCTGTTGCTGGTAGCATAGGATGCTGAAGGAACTGGAAAAGTCTCAGAGAGTGCTGGATAGCTGGACTTCTTTGATCTTGTTCATTTGGAGAGGCAAGGTGAGATGAATGTACACTTAATGTACACCTGTGTACACCTTCATGCCTCCCCTTAGAGATGAGATTTGGTTCTTCAGCACGCCTGCAGCTTCTCCTCCAACTCCTTGCCTCCTGTTAAGGCCCCCAGTTTTCCCACCAGGAATGGATAAATTATAATCCTGGAGAAGAAGTAGGTGAGCACCCAGGTACATCTGCTCCAAAAACTGAGATATCTAATGTCTGGTTTTCATTGCCTTTTGTTTCACTGCAAAAAGAAATGCACATCCCTTGAAAGCACCTGGGGTGAAATCCAGATGCTGCTGAAGTTAGCAGGAATTTTGTCAGGATTTTATACACATGCTTAGTTATTTAATAAGCAAACCCACCCTGTCAGCTTGAAGTTAACCTACTTATGCCTGGTCAGTCCTGTACACCAAAGTGAACAGACCTCAGGCCATCTTTTATTCTTTGAGGAGATTGGAGAAGATATTCCAGTCTCCATTCTGCTACTTACTGAACAAATGAGCACTCACAGCAATGCGAGTTGTAGAAAGAGACTGCCAAAGCTGTTATTGCTCCTGTGCATGTGTGGCAATATTAATTCATGTACCTGAAATCAAAATATTAAGAAAGCTCTTCCCCGTAGGATAGGAGAGTTATTTCGATGTCCATCAGTGTAGTGTTTTGCTGTTGAGATTAACAGAGCACATTGCTCTTCTTGTACAGGTTACCACAAGGGAAGGGAGCAGGCTGGGAAAGAGTTTTGTGCAATTTCTGAGGACAAAAAGCAAAATAACTTCAATTAAAAAAAAAAAATGTAGAGCAGTGAGATAAAATGCTTCATTCTGATGCCACCACTTTGCACGTTGTAAATTTGTCTGTAATATTTTCTGTGATAAAGGCATTATAACTCCTGTATCAGAAAGTGTTGGTTTGAAAATGTGTGCTTTTGGAAAAAAGACATTTGAAAAATTGGAAAACTATTTTTTTTTTCTTTGTCAAGTAATAAATGATTGTGACCAGTGCTTTCATGCAAATAACTGTGATTTTGGCAGCGTTTGTTTATTTCACTTTCTTTCACATTACAGACATTTCAGGTACTTCCAGATGGAATTTGATGCTTTGGAAGCATCAACCAGTTTTGTTTCATTAGAAAAATAGGCTTGGTTTTTTTCTGTATCACTAATCCTTTATCTCCTTTTTTCATCAAGGTTCAGTTCAAAATGAAATTAGAACAGGAATGTTATTCCTGCTACAAGTACACCCAATGCTTCCCTACTTACATCTTTATCTCATGGCCATTATTTCAATTATTTCAATATCTTTCAATTATTGCCAGTTTGCACTTTTCTCTCACAGTATTTCCCAACACAATTTTCTCTCTCTTCTCTCTTCCTCTGCCTCAAAAATGTCCTTCTAAGCAGCATTTCTGTGTTTTCTATTTTCACAGCCACTCAAGGCAACAGAAAATCCTGGTTTGAAGCAATATATTAAATTTTGCTTGTTGATTAGACTAATGGGGGCAAAGGATGATTTTAATTCTCTGATGAGTATTACTGGCTTTAGGACTTCATTGAAGAGACTGTAGGTGCCTGTAATTAAGGTGGTTTTTGAAGAAACCATAGAGTTTAAGTGCTTTAAAGTGAAATGTGTCTAACAGTGGCTCAAACCCAGCTCTTTCCCTTTCCTTACTCCTGAATTATTGATTCATATTCTCTCTCTCCAGTAATGAAATATTCATTGATTCAAAGTAATACACATCAATAGAGCTTCAGCTCGGGGTATCTTCCAGCTTTTGACAATCTTAGCATCCTCCAAGCAGGCAGTAAGTGGGGGCTCATGATCCCTGGGGAAGAGGAGGATGCACAGTCTGCTCTTCCACCCACCCATCTCAGCGCACTCCAAGGAGAAGGGAGGCAGAAAGTAATGCCATCTTCTCATCTTCCTCTTCACACCAGCATTTTGTCATCCCTTCCTGATACCCTTGGGAAATTCCTTGGACATATGTGAAGGGTCAGTCATATCTGGGATGCTGGCTGTGCACCCAAAACCTCCCTTCCAGTCTGTGCCCATCTCAGTACTTTTGGTTTGTGTTCCAAATGCATTTTAAAACTGCAGTTGGTCTCCATTTCTCTGACTCATGCCACGAAGCCAAGTGAATGAGCCTTCACTTCAAATGATGCTCGTCCCAGAACTGTTCTCCACTTCATGTGCCTTGCAGCTGTCAGCCAGTGCTGAGACACCATGGGGGCAGTCACTCATCTAATGCGACCCCCTCGAATGCATGGTGTGAATGCCAGCTCCATATCCCTCACTCTTCACTCCACTCTGCTCCAGCTGCACTACAACACCTGCCAGGATAGCTGTAGCTTTAGGTACTTTCAGTCAGCTCAAAGCTCTCCTTCCCTTTAAAGCCCTTCTGTTTTTGGGTGAGTGCAGAGGCTTTTTTATACAAGTTTTAAACTTTGCAGCTGCATTGTGCTGGCAGCTGGAACCCTTGCTCCTGTCTGGTGGTGCAAATTTGGGTTTCTGAGTTTCTGGAAGCACTGGGCAGGTGCTCAGCAGAGTGTGTCCCCAGGCACAGCACAGCTCTGTGTGCCAAAGCAGATAAAGACAAATTAGATTTCTCAATTCCCTTTCATTCTGGAAACACTCCTCCACACAACATCATGTCCATTGCACTATCATGTACCAGCCAGTTTTCTCCCTCATCTTTTGCACACTGCAGTTTCAGTGCCACACACGAGACATGTCACTGGAAAATATCGTTGATATCTCTTATGATAAAAGTTGGTATTGAGGATCAGCTCAGCTGATACATTACCCTAAACCCCAGCATCCTGATTAATGCTAGTGTCTTCAGTTCTCCCCACTGAGCTGGGGGTTGGTACCATGTTAGGCACCAGTGTTCTTTCACCGATGTTTTGTTTCCAGGCCAAATGACACCACCTGCTTTCCTGAAAACAGCACTTATCAACCTTTGTTCATAACTACATGCTAGCTTGTCATTGCCATTGATTTTTTAATACTTTTTTAACCAGGATGTATTTTATGTGCTGCATTTCTTTGCCTGAATTGCTAGGCAACTGTGTGACTACAGGTTCATTTAATTCTTCCGAAAGAATAGTGGAAAAATCAATTAATTACTTACATTCATTTCTGACAGAAAATTAAAAAAATAAATGCAATCATGTGATAGCATGATCCAAAAGTGTGCTCAAAAATGATACAAATTAATGATTCTTGGTTAAGGAGAAGACAGAAACACTAATATGATAGGAGCAGTGACAGTTTGCTTTTGAGAGGAGGTGGAGTTTCTAAAAATGTAATTTAAAAGAAGAAATCCACGAGACTTCAATAATAAGAAAAAGTAGAGGGAAGTAGGGAGCAAAGGTGGATTTGCCTGGGGTGCATGGGGAGAAAAAACAACTGATGGAGTCTGCATGAGCCAGGCAGCTCCGCAGCCCCTCTGCTCCCTTCTCATCCCCATCACAGCAACAACAGGTCTTCCAGGGCACAGCAAGTTCCTGGCCTTATGAATCTGCCACTGTTTCAAAATCACACATGCAGCTTTTTTAAACCAGCAGTTATTGAAAAGAGTGAGAAAAGGACTGAGAAGCAGCCTGTTCTGTAAGGAGTCTGAACCACACAGAGTATAGCACTGCAACATCTGGGTAATTTGGCAGGTGCTGAAAGCAGCTGTGAAAATCCTAAAAAAAAAACAGTACTTACCAAGTCTCCACTGCTCTCATTAAAATCCCTTTGGACTTTTTGGGGTATAAATGAGTGCAAGACCTTGACTCGTTTTGTTTGAGTACAGGATCCACTTGGTTCCAGGAGTGATTGCATGAGCTGGTGTGGTAGACACTGCCTCACAGGCTGAGGGCTGGAAAAATGGGAAAAAGACAGCATTGCCCTTGGAGGGACAAATGTGAATGTGCAGTAACTGCTGCAAGTGAGAAAAATGTTCATGGCAAAAAAAACTCCACTGAGATTGAAGTCCATTATGGAAAACAAATGGAGGTAATTAGTGATCTAGCATGGGAATACGGACATGTTACAACTGTCCCAGTTAATCTTTTTATAGAAATTCATTGACTTGATGGCATTTCCCAAGGGATGTATCTTGTGCAGACTTCAGGATATTTCTTTCATTATGACCAATGAGGTTCAAACAAAATTCTGTGCTAGCGATGCTGTGAAAAAAGCCCTCCATCATTTGATTATTAGTGCTGACACTGATGTTCCCTTAAGTCATTTCCCCTAAAGATGCTGAAGGTTTTTCCTGTTGGAAGCAAGGAGCAGATTGCTGATAAGCTGCCATGGGTTAAAAAGCTCCACATGTCATCTCATCCCCAGGTTGGTCTTTTTTCCCTCGATGAGAGCAGCCCTATTAAGCTGGACGTAGTGATCCATGACTCTCAGACAAAGCTGGTAGCTGGGGCCTCTTACTGAAATTTCATGCCTCTGTTCACGTAATTTACTGAGCATTCTCATTGTTAAGTGGGATGCCTTGTCTTGTTTTGTTGACTGCACCAGACTATGTGAGGCAAGGCTTGTAAGGCAAGTTCTTCCTCAGGGCTGAGCACCAGCTTGTGTTTCGGGGACATCACCAGGTGTTCCCATCACCTGGCTGTGTGCAAAGAGCACCAGAAGCAGCACGTCAAAGACAAGACACCAGTTACGTACCTAAAAATGCCATTTAAAGTGCCAACATTGTAGCTCTCAGAACAGTGTAGTGCCAAAGATGAGGGTGGAAGCTGGGCACAGCCCCTTCTCCTAGTGTTGTGGCTGCTCACAGCCCCTCTCAGCCCCTGCA